TGGTCCCAGTAGCATCACTCAGTGTAACTTCACAATCAGCTTTTATTTTTATTACCCCACAACCTTTGTCACCTTGTCATTCATCTTCCTGTCAACTCATTTACTGATTCTGAATAGCAGAGGACTCCCCAGTACCTGGTGCAAACACACACACACTCACACTATCCCTCTGTGGTGCAGTCTTGGCTGAGTGGAGCAAGAGTAGGAAAAGCAGAGCAGTAACAGCTTCCCCACAGAGGTGGGTTTGCTTCGAGGCAGTGTAACACCAGGAACCATGATCTTATTAACTATATCTGAAAAGGCACATGTACTGCCAAGTGCTAGTACCAGAAGAAAGCTTTTAGTACTTAAACCTAGGACTATCAGATGTTCCAGCCCTTCCTACCTCAAAAGAAAAGTAACATAAAGGTTTCATAGAAGTTCTCATACTGTGTTCCTTGCTGCAAACTTTCAAGTGAGGCTCTGCCCCACAAAATGTATTTGACACTGCAGATATGGTGAAGTCATGAAAAAAATTCATCTGAGATTTGCAGCATCCCTGCAGTGATAGGGGCCATGCCTGTTACAGCAAGTACTAAGATATGCAGTTTTGCAGAAGACATTAGGAAATGCAAATGGTGACCCAGCTTGCACCTCGAGGCTGCTTACCTTGGTTATACTGACCTTCCTTGTCAACTGTATGCCAGGCCATCCCCCTGCCCAGTCCTTACGTGCTCTGAACACAGGAACACTCCTCTGCTTGGAGCAAACAGTAACAATGGTTGATAACTTGGGAGGCTCGATTTTATGGAGAAAGCAGATTTATTTGCTCTAGATAGGGCAGCCAGGCACCAGCTAAAATCAAAGCTACTGCAGCAGTGAGCAGTGACACTTTTCCTTCTGCTGTTATTTAAATATGCCTCTTGACTTTGCCACCAGCACTGCTCAGGAAGAAAATCACCCCTAACAGTTGCCAAACCTGGGTGAGCACTAGAGGAATACCAGACACTGCTGCCACAAAGCATATTTGAGGATGGCTGTTTTAGAGCATAGGCATTAAGGAGAAAGCTCACTGAGCCTTGGCCCGGACAGTCTTTCAACACTGATATGCAGTAACTAATACACAGGCAGATCTGATGGCAAAGCAGAAAGAACCTAAAGAGCTCCTGGGTTCCGCTTGCCACTAATTAGGCTATCAAATGTCTGACAGAGAAAATGTTCTAACTACAATATAAATACTTTAATTACAAAGTGGCTATAAAACAGACCCTTGCCCTGCACTTCAGTTTCTTCCTTAATTTGTTCACTAATGTGAGAACCAAAGCCAAACACCAACCTTACAACCTTCACAGGGGCTATTGCATTTGTACTACCCATATGTGTACAATATAATACAAGGATAGCATTACTAAGACAAAAAGTGCAACAACAAAAAACCTGCAGTTAATGCACACACCTTGTTTGAATTTCACCAGGCAAAGAATCAGGCTAAAGGAACTCAAGACTGTGACAACTTGCATTCCATCTAAACCAGTATTCACATCATGAACACAGTGAATGCTGTACTCACATTGAAGCATCCAACATTAATGAAAAAATTCCACATCACTCATGTATGTAAAAACTTCATAGTGCAAACTATAACCTTTATTATTATTACTGAGGTACAGAGTATATTCCCAAACCTGAGAGTGGCTAGAGACACTGACAAGTCTAAAGCATCACAATGCTGACCTTATATGCTGACAATTTTCCACATGGAGACCATTTATTTCTTGATCAAAACATCAATTTTTAAAACTGTTAAAAGTAAAGCTGTAAAGATGGGCTGAACCAAGGTTTTCTGACTTGCAGTCCCCAAGTTGGAAAGATGATCCTGTAAGAAAACGTGTTGCAGTAATTCAAGACCGCTTTGTGTTCATCACAGCACTAAAAAAAGGTGATGGCAACGCATTTTAGATTGTAAGTCATTTGACAATATACACTTTATTCTGATACAAAATTGAAATATTTTAAACAAATTTCAATCCATTATGGACTATACTGAAATTTTTAATTTCTATGCTATTTTAACTTGTTTAACCACAAGTTCTGAGATTCCAGCACACTAGCACCATTGCTCTTGAAGTCTTTGCCAGTTATTATACCATTTTATTCTGTTTCCAGTCTTGCGATATTATCTTCTACATGAAGGCCATTTTTCTTCTACTTGGAGATACTTGGATTACTTTAGTTCAGGAAAAAGCTAATAGATAGAGATGGCAACCTGTAGCACCCACAGCAGAAAAAGAATCATCCATCAGATATCTGCATTTCAGTGATACTCAAGATCCTACATGCTCCACACAATTTAAGATACAGGCACTTGTCAGAGACCACAGACTGATTTTTAAGAGAACATTCCACCCCAGTGCAGACAGCATATGAAAACATGTTAATGTCTTAAACACAGGAACCAAAGACAGCACATCAGTACATCACACAATCAATGCTTGAAAGACTAGGAGCTTTAGATATTAAAAGGATATAAAAGTTAAGATGCTGTGTTCAATTTCCATGTTATGTAATAACATACTTATCACATCTGCATTAATCTGGCCTCCTTTTGGGGAAACCCTCCTTACTACCTGGAAGTACCATTTTTCTTTTCAAATAAACTTCTGTACAACTGCAGCTTAGGGACTAGTGCTTCATTAACTTTGCATCTTTAGGTCTCCATCTTTCTTTACAGCTGCTATTTTCAACAGCAGCCAGTAAAGAAAAAAGGTGGCCATAAAATAACGTCTCAACTCTTCGAAGTGCCTCTTAGACAAAGCTACACTTGACCAAGTAGTCCCTTCAAGAATGTGTTTATCTTTGACAAAGTTATTTCTGAACAAATTAGGGTACAAATAATTGGACCTAAGCCAATTAGTCTAGTAAGAGTGTTTCAAAGTGTGAAAATAATTCTAACAATGAATATTTAATTCTTTATGTGGTGCAAAAAGACCTGTCCAGGGCACAAAACCAGTCTGCAGCAATGTGGAATCCTCTAATGTTAAAGAAAGGTAGAATTCTGCTGTATACACAGGCTAGTAGTAGAATGCAAACTAGAAAATTTTTGTTAAAAATTACTTCTGTTAAAACAATCTTAAGATACTTGCAAGCACAACAGCATTTGCCCTCATCCGAGTAATCGTGAAACACTAATGCTGTTCCCTGTTACCCATTGCTACACAAATGCCTGGGGGAAGCTCTGCCTAGCAGAGGAAAATCACAGGTTTTCAACTTCCAGGTGTAAGCAAGCAAGCTTGTCACCTCTGCAACAAGCTGACTGGCATAATACACTATGACTGTGACTGTACTGCTGCAGTTTCAGATTTTGGCTCAACCTTGGCTAAGCAAAAACTTTTGTCAATGTTTTCTAAAAAAAATATATACAGTCATTGGGAGATTTTCCATTAAGTAGCTCCTGACTTTGTGAAAATCTCTGTAAATAACTTCCATATTAACTTTTAATTTTACATTACAAAGTCATGAACTGCTTTCTGGAAGTTTACGGATGGCAGACAGAAAGTTTAAATACTTGAATCAGTTTGTGAATATGCCTCAGCCTCTGATAAACTGAAATGCAGATTCCATTTGACTATTTTCAGAAAAACTGAAGAATAGCCAACACTAAAATAGAAATTGACTTCATAAAAATGATGCACAGGCTCAGAAATGTATCAGGAAGTTTAAAAAGATGCTGGACTGCTATATGAAAGGACCTGTAACGATCAAAGATGCAGAAAAGGAAATAATACATGTTCCAAGAGCTAAGAACCAATGTGCATAAAATCCAATTCCAGGAGTTTTCACCTGTACAAAAGCTGTTGGGGATTCAGGGTATCATGTGACAGTACTGGCCTCCATTTAACCACCCTGTCCGAAAGCACACAAAATCTGAAACGGAGCTCTTTGATTTGTACAGGTACATACAACCCCACCTGGTAAGCCAAGCTCCACTCACTAGGAGGGAAGTCCCAGCTCCTGAAGGGTGCAGAATGAGTGCAGCAGTAGGTCACGCGCTGCTGAGAACTGAAGAACTGCTTCAGCGTTGCCACCTTTCTGGGCTTCTGGGGGCTCTTTCCATTACATGGCACTGAACAATTTCCCCCCACCCCCGACCCCAGCAAACCCCCTACAGTAATCAAAGTGCCTATTTCAAAACATTTACAACTTGTCTTGTTGATCTGGAACACACAGCAATTTTGTATCTGCCAGGAACAGAAGATTCTTGGATAGGAACCGGATGACATATACTGGAATACTTGCTCCTTACTACTTATGGCTTTCCTTGATATTAAAAGGCTGGCAAAGGAAAGCCTAGAAGGAAAGAAGGGTTAAACAGATGTTTTACTATACACTACAAATCTTACCCAGTCAGAAACCTTCAATTGAAGAGCATGTGCAAGACATTCCCCATTTTGTCAAGCAGCAGCTTCTCATTCAACCTGAAAATTAAAGAAATTACTCTTACCTTGTTTAAAAACCTCCCACTACTCTTTATAATTCATGAAAAATTTTAAAGGCAAACCTTACCTATGCTCATTGCCCTTCCTTTCAGGTCTAAATGCTAGACCTATTGATTTTGAGTCAACTCAAGTAGCTATCACTCAAGGAGGTTCCAAAAGGTGAAGAACTCTTGCTAGACTTTCTTCGATATTTCAGCTGTGATAAGCAGATTTAACTAGCCTTGGGAAAGCTGCTCACTATCAGCACAGTATCTTATGCCTTCACTTTTCTGGAAGTTGAAGCTGTTGCTCCTGCTGCCTTGTCATTCTTTTATTAGGCTGACTTCTCCATACTCAATAGGCTGCTGAAGTCCTGTCTTACGAGTCTCCTTAGCAATGTATGGATCAAAGAAGTACATCCTAGGTTCTGAAAAGCTGGTGAATCACTGTCCTCAGGGCTTACACTTTTCCACATCACAAACAACAGCTAAGCTACCCCACCCACCTACAAAGCGGTCACTTACATCCATCTCTTAAAAGGTTGCATACAGATCTTGTTCATAAAGTTTATTATGACACTATTTTTCAAAGTTAACATTGTTGTCACAGTACAGCTACAAGAGGCCCTGTTAAAAAGAACACTGTCAATACATTCTAAAAAAATTTAGAAATACCAGATCAATTGTTAGAAGGGACATCAACCCCATCCTCCAGTTGTCCCTGCAATCAGTTGCAGACCCCAGGTGCAAGTCTACACATCTTCTAGAGCATAGTAACATACAAAGCAAGTCGGTAGTTTGGTGTCTCACTCCCTAGTGAGTTGTGGTTTACTTTCCCATGTTTTCAAACTCCAAATGGGTTGTTTAGAAAATGCCTTTATTGAAGTACAGCCTCCCCCCCCACCCCAAGCCCAAATGAATATGTACAACAGAAGTGTTCACTAAACCACCAATTCTTGCTTTAACTTTTGAGATCTTTTAAAACTCCACAGAAAATAAGCAGCAGACTTTGAAATCCATTTTGGAGTCTACCATCTTGACACTGGTTCCTTGTTTTAGTGTACTGCAGTCTAAATACACTCCAATAACAGTGTTTAAATAACATATGTTTAATTTTTTTTTCAAACAACACACTCATTTTTCTACCACTTCTTAAAAATTATAATTCATTATTAATATGACTGATTATGCCTTGAGCCATTTCATACATCTTTGCAGATTCATTCCTATACTGGAATTGCATTTACCTTATACTGCACATTGACCCAGAAGTGAAACAGGTGTGAGTAATTCCAGTACATATTGCCAAGTGTCTGAGTATTTCTTTTATTGACTGGGTCCCTACTCTTCTGAGTCTGAATTGACAGCAAGCACTGGCCTGGCAATAGTCAAAAGAATTCACATCAGATGAGGACAGGACAGACTGCAGTGCCTTAATTTGGAGGTCAGAAGTGAGAATGGAGTACCATTTCTAGCCATATGCGCTGGTAACATTTGCTACTCCAGTGCACCAAATCCAGTCGCAGCACACTATCACTCTACCTGTGGGAACTTGAGACTGTACCATTCTACATTGTGGGAAGTGTTTCTAATCGGAAAAATACAACTAGATGGTGTTTTATTTTTGAGCTCTTAGCTGAGCACAGACATCTGCAAGGGGAACAGCTTACAAGCTATACTACTTCAGAGCCCACGGGGAATGGGCTTTTGGAACGCATTACCTGGGACTGTCAGTGATTACACCTGTGCTACCCTTGGCTCCCAGTCAGAAGAATGTGTCCAGAAAATTGCCTAGGGTGCATGCAAGAAAGTATATAGCCATTAAATTATTGAGGAACATATCTATTACTCTCACTATGACGCCTCATTTAATTGAAACAGTGCAGTCTGGTGTGAGGGAGAAGGAAATGGGGACAAAGGAAGGGGATGAAAATTCCAAGCCACCCTCCCCAAAGTATAGTTTTATTGAAACAGATTCATTGTATATCTCAAGGAAACAGGCACTTGATTCCCCCCACCTTAACTTCTCGGGAATTACAATAAATATAAAGGTAAAAAGCAAGTTTCTTTTTCTCTTAACCCAAGACTTAAACAACTTCAGTTATCCCTTATGCATCTCAAATGAGACGGGAGACAGCTTTCATGTGTCTAAAGTTGGTCTTGTTAAAATATTTATCATGCCTTATTTTCTTGAAGCGCTAGTACTAATACAGAACTACAAATTAAAAAAATATGCACAAACCAAAAAGTAATTTTAAATTTTCATTAAGGTAAAGCTTAGTTCTATGATTCACAAACACTAATTTGAGTAACTCAATCCTAGTTATACATCTAAACAAACTATAATGCAACATACAGATGTTTTCCCTCTGTATGCCTATGTAAGTCATGTCAATGACAGTTACGTATATACACTGAGACTAGACCCTTAAGACTGCAAATCAATAGGTGTTTCTATTGTTAACTTTAAATTAATACAAAATAGTAATTGAGAAATGCATTAATCTTCTCTATTAACTAACAAGGAAACACCCTAAACTACATTTTATTTCTGTTATAGTTCTCTGTACTAAATGTGGAAAAACTGAACTACACAAATATTGAAAAGTTAAAAAATCATTGATTTGTTTATTCCTGGTACCACTACCACAATTTACAGGGCAATATACCTGATGTAATGGGAAAATAAAAAGAAAAAAGAAAGACAAAGCTACAACAGAGAAAGACCTCAGGAATGTACATCTAATCGACACTACATTGCATTAATCAATAGCTGCACTTTTTGCAAACTGTGGCTATGACAGTCCTGATCAAGAAGGGTTTCCTGTTTAAGCTGCAGTAACTTTTCTGACTATGGATCATCGTTCCTTCTGTGGCAGATTTTACAGTTCCTCTAATTCATTTGGGACGACTGTCTCAAAGTAACCTGCAGCTTTCCTGACAACTCCTCGCTCTCTCTCCTGCTAAGAACTGTAGCCTGTTGAATACAGGATAAGAAAATTATTACTCTCAGTGAACAGTTGCACATTATTAATCATCATTATAAATATGCATTACACCTACCCTTTTTCTGGTAGCATTTTTAGAATCTTCTACCACCATAGCCCCCACTTCCACTTCCAGATCCATAACCACCTACAAAAATAGGATGTATATTGAAATACAAGAATAACAAGGGATTTTAACTCAAAAAACATGCTCTATACAAAATCATGCTTACCACCATAGGGACTGCCTGAACTTCTGCCACCAAAGCTACCACCACCTTTCATGGGACCATAGTTAGACTGCTGTTGTCCACTGTAATTGCCAAAATCATTGTAGTTTCCACTTCCACCATAATTACCTAAAACAAACACAAATTTATAAAGTCATGTGTGATCAACTCTTAGGGCACGAAGCTTGCAAATTACGATATCCAATGTGAAAGTAATAGTTTAAAACTATTTAAAATGAAGTTCAAGCATTTTGCATGCTACCTCTATGCAGAATGTATGAGTAACAGAAAACTCTCAACATTGGAAAATTTATTAATGTGAGTAGGCAATTTGATGTTAACACAATTTAAGGCCCTTAAAGTAAGAAAAGCACATGAGTTTCACCATCATTTTTCCACTGCCCAACACTTTGCATATATGACAATAATGTAAATTACATACTAATTATTTGCTCCAAAAAGTGATAGAAGTGTAACGGGCATGCTGCAAACGTACATCAGAAAGTATAATAAAGTATGCAGCAGCTTTTGCAGCTTGACTTCCCAAATTTGGGGCAAACAATAAAAAAAGCTTATAAAAACTTATATTCACAGTCCTTGGAAAGGAGGATGTGATCTACATGATGTGAACTGGTATTTGAGGAAAATAGCATATTTAAAATGGTCAAAATGTTAAACACTCTACCTCCACACACAGAACTATAGCTGAAACTTTTTGAAAAATACATCCCAGGCAACATAATGTTATAGCATATCAAAGCTGATCCACACTGAAAAGAACTCTCCTTATGCAACATGGCATTCTATGTTAAAACCTACTAGTACAACTTATTTTATACATGTTCCAGCATCATATTTCAGGCATTGTAAAATGAGACCTGACTAAAAAAAAAAAATATGTATGTCTAATTAAAGTTGGCATCTTACCACCACCAAAATTTCCTCCTTCATTGTAGCCATCATATCCTCCTCCGCCACCTCCATATCCACCACCTGGGTTTCCATATCCTGGTCCTCCACCACCACCATAACCTCCTCTGCTGCCATAGCCAGGACCACCTCCATAGTTGCCACCTTTGAATAAAAAAGTCAAACTAAACACACCAAAGCCAAATACTGGTAAGGAAAGGTCCATTTAACAAAAAACCCCAAACCAACACAATTGCCCAATAAAAATGTCCCACAGCATTTTCCCTTTATCATACTCATTGTGGTTGCAAAATTTATCTTAAGCTATTTAACTGAACCCCCCCCCCCCCGTTTATAAAATCAGGACCCAAGTAATCACATACTCGTCCCTTTCTGACTATTGAAGATTGCCCTTTTTGGCTTTTTAGTAATGTACACATTTCTCTTCAGATGCATTCTAGATACTCATCGAAACTCCATAATGAAAAAGATACTACTGAGCCATGAAAAGTCTTACAGTTGATTGAAAACATTTCTGGTATGATAGCTGGTCCTGGCCATTGCTTTGTTCAGTTTTAGTCTTTTCAACTGACAGCAGAATCTTCATTTAGTTCTCAATAATCTTTAACAGCTGTCTCATGACCTCATAATATGAGATTATTTAAAGGGTAATACAAAGGAGTATTTTTTTCCATTATTTTGTGGGGAAAACAAAAAAACCACTAATTCTTCACAGCTCTACAATGTAGACATTTAACTTCCATTATAACTATTATCACATTATCACCAAAGCAGATTTTGTTTTGAAGGTGAATGCAAGACTTACAGCTTGTTCTAACAGTGTGGGGGAAAAGAAAGTGAACAATACACTTACCATCACCAAATCCATTGTATCCGTCACCACCCCCAAAGCTTCCTCTGCTCCCACCACCGCCACCACCACCCCCATAGCCTCCTAGAACACAAAACAGATGAGAATGTTTTCCTGAACACACGTGTTAAATGTTTAAGCCAACTGACACAGGAAATAAAAAAAACCAAACACACCAGAAATCACATTCTGTATAAATATTCCAGTCATTTACCTCTCCCACCAAAGTTTCCTCCTCGGCCAAAGTTCCCTCCACCGCCTCCAAAGTTTCCACGGCCCATGAAGTTGCCGGAGCCACCCCCACGGCCTACAAAATATTTCACTTGAATTACATTAATTGAAAGCCCGTTACATAAAATAACTATGCACAACTACAACTCACCTCTCTGAGAGCTAGCAGTCTGCATCTCTTGTTTTGAGAGTGCTTTTTTCACTTCACAGTTATGTCCATTTATAGTATGATATTTCTGAACTACAGAAAATTGTGAAACAGCAAAGTTAGAAAATCGCATCACAGTAATATGCTGTAAAACTCTCACAGACAGCTACTGTAAGGCATGAGCACCACTTTTAAAAGGAAAATGAAACTGACCCCATCTCTTACAACAGTAAAGCAGTTGACTATGCAAACACCTCATTCCACACGTTGCTGTTCTGAAGTCTTACATTAACACTTATCCCGCAAAAGTAGTATTCACTAAAGAGTTACATACCAACAATTTTATCAACTGTATCATGATCATCAAAAGTTACAAAAGCGAAGCCTCTTTTCTTTCCACTCTGCCTGTCTTCCATGACTTCTATGGTTTCAATCTTGCCATATTTTTCAAAGTACTCCCTTAAATTATATTCTTCTGTATCTTCTTTAATTCCACCAACAAATATTTTCTTTACTGTGAGATGTGCCCCAGGCTTTACAGAATCCTGAAATGCCAAAAATGACATTCAATGCTTTACATTATTAGGTAAATATCAGGAAAAAAGGTTAACTGAAACACTGACTCACCTCCCTCGAAACTGCTCTCTTTGGTTCAACCACGCGCCCATCAACCTTATGTGGTCGAGCACTCATGGCAGCATCCACCTCCTCCACACAAGAGTAAGTCACAAAGCCAAAGCCTCTGGAACGTTTTGTCTGGGGGTCTCTCATCACCTGCAAGAACATAGAAGGTATCTGCATCTCTGTCCTAGATGAAGTACCTATACCCTTTCAAAACCACCAACTATTATTAGACACTTTACCACACAGTCCGTGAGTGTGCCCCATTTTTCAAAGTGCTCTCTCAAGCTATCATCTGTTGTTTCAAAGCTCAGACCTCCAATGAACAGCTTTCGCAACTGCTCTGGCTCCTTCGGCTCATGGCCCTACAAAATCAAAAATCAAAAACATATTTTGAATACAAATCACAGAATTAAAATTTCACAGAATTACAAAAATTATCTGTGCACATTATACCTACAAATAGGTGGAATACATTTACATAAAAACAATGACTTCTAATGGGTATAGACAGCAGCATAGTAAACAATTAATGAGGTGTGATTTTAATTAAAACACTAACTAACTAACAACGTAAAGAGTGCTCAAATGCAAACAGTAAAAGAATTTCAATATGCTAAATAACTTGGTCGCTCCCCACCCCCTGGAAGTGCATTCATTCTAGGCCTATCTTTGAGTTGCAGATTGCTCTGTAGGGACTAGCGATGAAGCACTGCTGGATAAAGTTCTAACACTTCATGAAGCATAATCACAAAGAACTATAAAAAATTTAAGGATGCAGAAATGAGTTTATTTGAAGTTTTTGACAACATTGCCCATATATGACCAGTCACATTTTAAAATGAAGTTTCAGAGTCCAGTTTTCTATAGAATGATTAAAGTGGGCTTACAAGTACAATTGTGTTTCTGCTTTCAGTGCTGCATTTTTTTTAGCAGGCAGGGAATCTCCCCATACCTTTGACAGGAGTTTATGAAATATTATTTTAAAACTTTCTCCCACTGTAAGGGAAGTCTTACCAAAAGGCAACCAGATTAAAACCTTGTTTTGCAATCATGAACTTCTGTGCAAGTGAAACACTCCACAAGGTACTGGCCAGCTATACTATGTATGACTTCAGTTCTGCAGCACAAATGCGCAACAAGCTTCACTGTTTCTGCTGCAGTGCGCTGAACCAGTAGATGCAGCATTACTGTGAGAGGTGAACAGCATAAAACCAGCCACAGACTCCTACATGTAGACATCTTGCTTCAAACCTGAGGTGCTTTTATCTCTGCTAAGGTGGTAGGGATAGCCAGGAAAGCATCCCTTTGAGTGAGATTTTCTGATTTGCACAGTGTTTTAGGAAACTGTTGGTTTATAACGTTCAGATTGTACTACAGGAAACAACACCTACAATCATGAAAAACTGACTGAGAAGCAAATCCCTGCTCTCATACCTGCTAAACTTTGAGAGAAACAGCCCCAGCATTCTCAATTATAGTTTCCTATTTATGGCCTTGTTACTGCAGGAACATTATATAAATGATTAACAGCCAGTGATCTTAGGACTACAAAGTTAAGCTTCTTTTCTATGGTCTTCTAAGTGGTCTGGACTACAAAAGTATAATAAATAAAATCTCCCTTCTAACTACACACAAACTTAAAATTTTATAGGGTAACACATCTACTGCATACGGAAACTGCTTTAGGACAAGTGTTGTTTTCTGTTGTTTTTTTTTAAATCTACAGACAATATGTAATTTTTACCTGGGTCATGTTAAAACTGGGAACACTGAGTGTTTCAAAGTCTCTTACATATATTAAAGGAAATTTATTTTGTGAAACTGCAGAGTTCAGACTCCTCCAAAACAAAAAACCTATATAAGGAAAAACTAGACAAACTTTTTACAGTTCTCTAATATCCCTGAAGGTTTTCAGCTAACAACTCAGACTGCTTTTACCTTAAAAGAATGACCACACAACTTTTCAGGTCACTCCTGAAAGGAAAAGTGAAGTCCTTCTCAGCTTATTGTTATTATGTGCACATGAACTGCTGTTCTCATACAGGAGGAAGAACACCTGCTGTTATAGCTTCTCTCTTTCATTAGAAAAAAATTATCCTCAAGACACATCTATGTTATAGGAACTCTACACAAAAATAAAAGGCAGCATTTTCTTAGGGAATTAGTTTTTTTCCAGGCAGTTTGTTCTCACTGGGGTTTTCAGTGCTGTCCTATATGACAAGACGCTGTTTTCTCAGTCGTTCTGCTGGTGGTTACTCATAGCAGCAGTCTCTCCTGAGCAGCAAACACTGTGCAACATCTCTCTCCCTTCCTCCTTAGTGTAACTACCACACTGCTCCAACAAAATCAGCAGGCTGCCTCCTACTCAGCTGACACCGCAGGCCAGCACGCCATTTTGCAGCTCTCCTCTGGTCGGGGGCGGGGAGTTTAGGCTGTAAGAAAGCCCAGCCTGCATTTAGCTTGCATTTAGCCGGCAAGACGCTGTTTCTCCCCCGGAACTGTTTAAGGGGCTTCCAAATACATTAATAGGCTCTGATGAGGCGGTAAACTTTCTTTCCTGTCTCGATTACTGCCTTCCTCCCTAAAGCCAATGCCCTGCGCAGCCCCGACCGCCTCCATTTTGTGAGCGGCCGCGTCTCCACCGCCGTCAATATGGAGCCGGGGGCGGGGCCGCGCCATCAGATCCCAGCGCCGCAGTGGCGCCATGGGCGGGGCCCGCCGGCCCGGCAGGAGGGCAGGGACAGGCCGGCGCTGAGGGGACTGCGCGGCCCCCTCTGCTCACCTCCTCCCGCCAGCAACGTCGAAACACTGGTTCCTAGGTCCTACCTAGACCCCCAAACGCTCAGCACAATCTAACTGTACCTCTCATCAGAGGGGAAGAAAAGATGGCAGCTAGAATCCCCTGGGATTCCTGCAAAAAATCCTAATCTTTGAAGAAATCCCGACACCTTTTGACAATGCTCCTGCAGATACATACTGCCTCTATCCCGAGGCTGCTATCAACTGAAATTTCCTATGGCAGGGGTTTTGAATAATCAGCCTTTTGGAGCTGCAGTACTTCTCTCTAGAGGCACAGGTTTCAGGTGGAGCCCTCCCATGCATTATACCTCTACGAACAGCACCAGGTGTCCACAAAATGCCTGGCACCACACCTAAGGGCAGCTGAGGCTAAATGTGAGACCATCCTGTCCCCCAGGCAGTAGAATCCTAGACTGTCTTCTGAAACGGGAAAGCTGACAGGCAACTGTGGCCTCAGCACCTTTCTCTGTGAAACAGTTTCTCTACAAACTATAGGTTTTAAAATCATTCCAGGGCAAGCTACTTTTGTGAACTACAAGAGCTTTAGTATGCAGCTGAGCAACCCCAGTTACACTCTATCCAAAGTCCAAATCAGTGAGAGAGTTTCAACATTCCTTCCAGAAGGACTTTACACACACACTACCAGAGGCATGCAACTCTAACAAGGTTTGCTCTTAACCCAAGTGTAGAGGCCCTCCCACATTGCAGTAGTATATCATTCCAGAAAAAAGTTGGTTTCAACTAGCTATTCAGGCATCCTGAAAAAATGATGTTAGAAAGCAAGCAAATCCAAATAAACAATCAGAAAATGCCTCAGTTATAAACTATATAGAGATATTTAACACCCTTTTTGCTGATCTTAAAATTACCTTCTGAAGGGTATCAAGAACTTCACCCCCCTCCCATTTCCACACCCTGCCCCAAAGTAACTAGCTCCCATCCTCCCAGAAACAGCCCCAACATCTTCTCTATACTACGCACCTTATTCAGTCTACGGTATTTCTGCTAGAAGCAAAAGAAAACAGTTATTTTTACTTAGTACAGCTCGCTTTCATTTGCAGTGACTATCAGGCAACCATTTTTTCATTAAAAAAAAAAGAAAAAAAGAAAAAAGGAACCTGTCTTCATTCCCACTAAAAACAGGACTTTGAAGATATGAAGTAATCAAGTTCCTGCTGATACTCTGAGGATGCATGAATTTTTCAATAATTACACCTTGCTTTAATCAGAAACATATATTTAATTGGTTTTGTCTTAACAGAAAACTAGAAAAGCAAAATCTCCCCGTTATGCTTAACACCCCACCCCTTAAAACTGTAAGCAATAAACTGCAATTTAAAGTTACTCTGCTAACACGGGGATGAAGAAGGTAGAAAAAAAAAAGCCATTTATTAATATATCAGATAGAAATTAGTAACTTGGGTTTTTTTTCTTTTTTTTCCCTTAAAACTTCTTTTTTTAAATAAAAAACAATCTTCTCACCTGTGAGGATCGTCTTCCTTTCCTCTTGTAGTCTTCCACCTCTCTCTCTTCCTTAATAGCAGCCATTTTGGAAGGGTACTCTAACTCAGCCTTTCTTTTAGATCTAGGAAACCTAGAAAACAGGTTGGATAAGTCAGCACTTACCCCAATTCCTGTGACACAGGGCCTTCTCTGGCTGAAATGCAGAGGTGTGGCTTTACAGGAGGAAACGGGTAAAAGCAGAAAAAAAATCCAAGTATTTAAAAGGGTAAAAATCCTCAGTCTATTTGCTGATGATTATGAAGAGCTGCAGAAGGAACATCTGCTATCCTAGTAAAGCTCGTTTTACAACTGTTGGAATACCCAGGTACAATGCTAAAATCTGCAGAAAACCTGTATCTATTACTGTCTTACATAACTATCACGGACACAACTGATACAGGGCAAGCAAATGCCACCTCTGATACCCAAACCCACTATATAAATTCTACGTCTCTGGATTTTAAACCCCAAAACACTTAACATTTTGCAAATAGTGCTAGTAAGAACTATCTGATGGTAACCTATTGTAATCAGCAATGCAGCATTGTGGAACACTAAAGGATGTCTTACAATGTCTTCTGTACTGAAAAGCATTTTCCACTATCAGCAGTGGAATTTACTGATTCTCTCTTGCAACATCAGGAATTTTAACATCTGATCCTCAGCAATATGTAGCACTAGACATTTGCATTACTTTTGCTTCCAAATTACCTATTTGATTACTGTACTATGTAAAGTTATGTAAGTATCATTACAAAAATTACATCTTTTACAAGATAAACCTCAGTGGATGAACCCATACCTACACATTTAAACAAAAAAAATGTTCCCTATAGCCTTTATTCTTTAAAATTTTTTGAGATCTTGAAGTTACTTGCCTTAGTATTAGTGCACTGGTATCTGACCACAATTCATCACTACTTTGGATGTTTCCTGAAACTTTATTACAGTCACCAAAATGCAATACTGTACATTTTATAACATACTTCAGTAAAACTATTCTTGTGCTGTATTAAAATCACAGGTATTTACAAGATTAGGTGTGTTTCTGTGGGGGTTGTTTGTTTGGGTTGGGGGGTTTTTTAAGTTTTCTTCATGCAAATACTGCATCCGGAAAGGCAGGCAGGTCTCTACTAATGACCAATATGTGCTGTTATTCATAGTGGAAATTATTGTTGAATATAATTCCTGCTAAAAGCTGTTAAAATACAGCTTTAAATTAAACTCAACTGTGAAATCTTGAGTATCATCATTTAACGCATTAACAATTTTAAAGGTTTTATTAAGTAACATTGAAGTGTTTGTATTATCTTTAATTCCTCTCTACACAATATTAAACCTCCTCTTGAAATCCTTTAAATCAAACAGCAGTTTGACTTAGGAGGTATTAGGATATTAAGTGCTTCAACTGAGCTGTTCAGTTCTTGAAGTCATACACGACAGGTATGAAATAGACCATTAACAGTTTAAAGGCTTTTTATAAACTGGTTGTATGGCAAAATACAGCTTCGGGAATTGTTAGGAGGAAAGGGATAAACCTATTTAAATACTTTTTGTAAGTAATGGAAAGTATGCAATCCCTCTCTAATTTTGTCACCTGCTGCTTCCCCCAGTGAGGCTCAGTGCTGGCCAACATTAAGCTCCCGGGCACGGTCTCTGCAGGCCATGACGGTCAGAACAGTATTGTCTCCTTGCTAATGCCACACCACCAGCTCGGCTGCAACACAGCTATCGCTAAACGCTTGTTAAACTAGCATTGAACAGTAATATACTGCAACTTCACTACAGAATTGAAAGTAGTCTCAGAGCAAATCTCTTAGCTTATAATGAGAAAAACTCACTAGGAAACGTCTCACTACTCAAAGGAACTTACAATGCTGCTGTATCTCTTACAGGAGACAAGAAGCTAATAGAGGCAAAACAGACATTCCCAAGATGGAGGTTTCCCTGTCCAATCAGAGAATACTATGGAGATGTATCAGTCTTTTCTGTAAATAGCTAAAGTCGGACCTAAAGTGCACACACTTAGTATACTGTACTAAACCTAAAAGTTAAAGCGGGAAAACAATTATTTTCAGCTTTAGGTGTGTTGGTAGTTTATTCCCAATGCCAACAGGAATGTCCACCTGGGAAAAAAACTGCCAAGATAAAAACTTAGTATTTTATGTGACTGATTTTCAAGCTTTACAGAAGCATGTTCAAATGCTTTGAATACATCAACCCCTCCAGTTAAACCCTGAAGCTGCTAAAACAATTGCTTACATGGAAAAGTTATTTTTAGCTGTTTTGCTAAGGGATCCAGTTTCTTCTCTGCTTTTAATGTAGGAACAGTAGTTGATGTAGATCACTAGTGTGATCTCTTGTTTTCTGATCTTAATTTTATAGGGTTTCATCTTGCAATGAAGGGAATAAACACCACACAGAAGAATCTGCACTATTCTTCTCACCACACTGGGAAATACTTGAGAAAAAACCCTTAGGTTTCGAGGAAAGAAAAGCAAAGGGGGAAGATAATGACCGTTTCCCTCCAGGTAGGGCAGGGATGATTGCTTCAGTCTGCATTTGATTTCGGCTTCAATAAAGTTCAGGATATCTGAACCAAGGTTTCTATCGGGCTGCCTCTTCGTGCTGCACACCAAGATCATGGCTGGATGCCACCGAATGTCGTGACTTTTGTGTATGTGTGGTTGGGGAAGTGGAGAAAGGGAAGAGAGCTCTGTACTTTGCCTTCCCCCACCTCTCCGGGTTCGCTACACGTGTTAACTCCCCCTAGAAAAGGGTGAGGGATATTAGGGAGGTGTCGCAACGTGCATCAGCATTCCTCTACGAGAAGCAGCGTACTGCACTAAACGATCTTAACGCTTTAAAAGTCTGTTCTGAGGAAAGTGAGTGTGGAAAAAATATCCCTGGCGCACTGCTCCGGGTAACTTACGTAGGGGGAGGGGAGAACACAGGGAGGGCAGAACAATGACACAGGCACGTGCGGGGCTCGCCTCTCCCTAATCCTGCCTGAATCCGCACCCAGGTGTTTCAGTGTGCCCAGGACTGCTGCGGAGGACTCTGCTACCCACAGCCCTGCCCCAGGCCGAGGGCCGGGCCGCTCTCACCCACACGCCGGAGCGCCGCAAAATGGCGGCCGCAGCTCGCGGGGCCGCGCGGCGGAAGCGCCGCTCTCCCGCTCCCTCCCTTTTCCTGCCCGCGCCATTGCGGAATAAAGCGCCGTGTCGCCGGGGAAAGCGGGTTTGGAGCGCGCGAGGAACGCTACAAGGAGGCGGTGGCCACGGGAACCGCGAGGGGCTCCGTGAGGTGCTCCCCACCCTCGCTCCGCGCCCTCCCGCCCGCCTGCGCCCGGGGGTTCGGGCAGAGATCGAGCTGCTCCGGCTCCGCGCGACGAGCCGCCTGGCCAGGCCTGGCCTCGCCTCCCCTTCGACCCCCGCCTTGGCCGAGCCCGGCGAGGCCCACTCCCCGTTACCTCCATTTTGTGCCCGGACTTGCCTCGCGCAGCGCCAATATGGAGCCGAGCGGGAAAGGGAGGAGGGCGCGGGGGGGGTGTCACGTGGCGGGAAGGCGGGCTCGGGCCGCGCGCGCGCGCTCCGGCCATTAACGTTTTTCTTCTCAGGGCCCGCCGCCCCTCTCCCCCGCCCGCGCGCCCCGCCGGGGAGCAGGAAAGGGCAGGGACCGAGGGAAGGTGAGGAGAGGAAAGATGGGGAGAGGGGTCGAGAAGCGAGAAAAGATAAGATATCACCGTGCCGGGCGTTCAGCGAAAGCGCCTTCTCGCCCCCGTCGGTCCCACGCCGGCCGCTGGCCCCGCGCACGAACCTCCGCCCGCTGTGGGGGTGGCGGCGCCGGCGCAGCCGCGACTGGCGCGCGGGGCGGCTCCGCCCCCCGGACGTGGCCCCGCCCTGCGGGTGGTGCGGCGGCTGCAGGGCGGTGTCCGCGCCTCTGAGGGCTCCGCGCGGAGGGGGCGGTGCGGAGGCTTGGAGTGTTTTGTGCGAAAGAGAAGGAAGGAGGCGATGCGGTGTTTACGGGGGACTTCCTCAGAAGTATCAGAATGTGCCTGAGGCGCCCAGGACCTTCCAGGAGAAGTTTTTTTCCACGTATTGTTTTTATTCTGGAGATGCTGCAAGGACGCAGCTAAAGATTGGCTCTTCAGCGCTTGTTCGGCGCTCACCCTTTGAACTGGTCTTCCGGATGAATAGCAAAACGAATCAATAAGTTTCACGAACTTTTCCATGCAGACATATTACCTGTACCTTTTAATGGCGTTTTTCATCATAAACTAGCATGAAGAGTTCAAAAGAGGGTATTCTGCAAGAATTTTGTGTAGAATAAAGCACAGTTAAGCACATACATTAAAAAATGTTCCTTATCTGAAAAATTATGTCAGAAGAAGCAGCATTATAAAAACCTACCATTAAAGTCAACATTTCTTTAGTCTTGGTTATCTCTATCCTCTCACAGTATCAGTAAGTATTTTAGTATGATGACCTAACCTAAGCAGGAGGAGTTGGCACTTAGCCACTTCAAAAATATCTTTATGCTGTGTAAAGGAGTAAACCAGTTTATGTGGTTTTACTGAATCACTGGAAGTTTAGTGTTAGCTGCTAATTTAATTTCTTTATTTTACCCTGCAGTTTCTAGAAAAAAAAAAAGACAAGACCCAAACCCCCCAAAACCTGAGTTTCAGACTGGCATCTTTTATTTATGCAAAGGTTTAAAAACCTGTTTGGTTAACTAAAGAGAATTTTCCTAATACATAGAGAAAGTCCCAATAGGTCTAGAAATGTTCTCACTGCTATCGTGTGCAGAAGTTGAAACGAGTTTTTAGGTCATTCCTGCATCTCTGTGAGAAGGTAGATGCCTTTATAGAAAGTAAAACTCATTGAAAATCTCAGCAGTCTCCAGATATTCTTTGCACTGAGGCCAAACCCACAATTTCTCATCTTCCTTCTCTCAATCAAGTAAACCACTCAATTTCATTTTTTATTTAAAATAAAATGCTTCATGTATGTTCTTTATTCTCTTGCCCATTACCCACAGGGTGAGAGTATCAAGAGACAGACAGTGGTGCTGGCTAAATACATCTGTTAGTTTCAAAGGTTACTGTAGTTTACATGGGAGCTGCCTTCCTGATTTTGAAGAATTTCACACCTTTATTAGTTTGTCATTCGTTTTGCATTTAACTGTTACTTATGAAGGCTGATTGTCTTTGAGTTTCATTTGGTTGCACAGCCATAGGCAGATCACATTTGAATTCTACAGTTTCAGTTCATGATCGCCCTCCCCTATGTGTAATCAACTGTACAGAATGTAATAATTTTATAATACTGTGCTCACTGCACTGACATAAAAGACAAACCAGTAAATGAAGAAGATGCACATTTTACAAAGATTCACAGTGGCAAATGAAAAGTATCCACAAGTTTGAGGGCTTAGATAAAAAAAATAATTTTGATTTTAGACAAACAATTTTCTGCTAGTAAAGTGTTTTCAGGTTGGTTATCAGGTTATCTAGTAGAATGTTGCTTACCATTTTGGGTCACCCATTTCCATAAGTGAAAATGTAGCATTTAAAACACCTGTATCTATTCTGGCTGATGTAGTTTCATAGTCAGATGAAGTTTCACATTATCTAACAGATGTGGTATTGGTCATCTATGCACGTGGCTGACATGCTTTTCTTTTTACTAGCAGTGTTTGCAAACATGTAGTCTCCTCTCTGTAAGCCAAGGAAGCAGTAGTGTGTATCTAGTTCAAAAAAAACCCACCAAAAAAAAAACAGCGAGAAAGGCTTTTTGCTTTTATATATTTCTGTGGCTGAAATGTCAGTTTCTCTTCATTGTCCTTTTTTATTGTGGGTTTGTTGGAGGTTTTTATTGCTTGATTCTTATACAACATTTGTTTCTGAAGTGAATCCTTGCATAGGTAAATATTGTTAGTGAAATTGTCTGAAGTGTTTTTTAGTGTTACACAGAGTTTAAGATGTGAATATGAAATTGCTCTTGAACTCTAGTCTCTAGAATAGTAATGTTAATTGAGCCAATTCACTGAAATAAATGTTTTTTTTCTGTAAACCTCTGGGATTACAGAAAAAATGGACTCATTATTAATTAAATGTTAGTATTGTCATGATAGTTTTGCAAATGTAGTTGATTTGGATATATTTAAGTTTCATACTTTAAGAAGGATGCAGACTACAATTTTGATAAGAAGGCCTGAGTGCTATAAAGCAAAGCATTTGCATGAGCTTCAGGACAAACATTTGTTTAACATTGAGTTCTTTTTCTGGGTTATAGAAATACGGTATATTTAAACATAGGCAAGTGTTACTGCAGACACTTGACTATTGTGCAAGCTTCCTTGCACAATAAGACAACAAGACTGCAGCTTCTGCTATCTTCTTCATTTGGAAACAATTGTTCTCGTCTCTGAATTTGATTTAAATTACTGAGCTTTGCTGAAAAAAAGACAGGATAATAAATTAATGTAAAGTCTTGTAACATTTATGCAATTCTTGTATGCAGTGTAGGGTGCATGGAAACCTTTTACTTCATTAATTAAAAAATACATAGAGTTAATAAACTAATTATTTGTAGTACAATTATGCTACAGTATTTGCTCTATTTCAGTAATTGTTAATAATACTCTTTATATATATGTACAGAAATATACATGTACATATATACAGACATATATGTATACATACATATATTTGTATACACACACACACACTCCAGAAACAACAAATCCTAAAGGCCCTTTCCACTACAGATTGTGCCAATCAAATGTCTCGTGCCCCAGAACTCTGGCAGTCTCTGCAGGTCTTAGTTGCTGTGATTTGAGAAAGCTTTCTGTCTGTTTTTTTTTCCTGTGGAAGTTATTCAATGCATGCAGACACGTCAGCTGCTTCAATGTGAACTCTCCTATTTTAATTTTAATAATTGATAAGGGGTGTTTGAAGTAGTATGTCAATGAGCTAGTTAGAACAGAAAACACACATACGTATCTACCAGCCTAGTACAGGTTTAGTAATCTCCAGCAAATATTTTGGAAATAGCACCAAACTCTTGTGACTCCATCTCTCAGAGACCTTGGAGCAATTTACATGACTTCTGTTCTTTAAGAGCTATATCTGAGAGCTGCGATCCAGAAAATGAGAGAGATCAAACAATTTTGAGCATCTCAATTAAAAATACTTTTAAAATGCTTTCCCTTTGTATATTTCAGTTTCATTCAGGGTCACAGGATTAATTCTTTCTACAAAGAATATAAAATGTTTATTTTTTACAATATTTTACATTTTTACCAGACATGTAATATGGAAAATAATCCTGCATTTTGGACTGCTATAAATATGAATAGTTTCCTAAACACTTCTTTTTCCCTTTTGTTCTGCTCTTCTTTGTATGCTAATTAAATCTGAACTTATTGGACTCTCTTTTATTCCATAATCTGCTTTGTCTATGTTGTATCTGAATTTTTTTTTTTTAATTTTATTTTCTTGAACCCTTCTGACAAAAATGAAAGGAAGAAGTGTGCATTAGCAACGATACTAGGATGAACCAAACAACAAAGCCACTAGCAGTGAAGGAAAAATAGCTTGCTGAGATACCATTATAACACAGCTGGCTCTGTAACTTTGTGCCCAAGATTTTCACATTTACTGTCTATGTCTTAGGATGGGGAAATTCTGTTACTAGCAGAATTATGCCCTAGACAAAGTGTAAAGGTGCCATGTTTAAGTGTCAACAGTCATATTTAAGGAGCTTACTTCAGATAAAGAATTCTGTGTCTAACATTCTATGCTGTGTGATTTAGAAAAGGCTCTACGGTAAATTTGGGTAATTTTTTTCATAAAAGCAATATTCTTTGTTTATGCTAGAAATTTTTTTGTTAGCAAACACATTTTCTTTAAATAGATCAAACAGAAAGGAGTTTATGTATTGCTGGGGGGAAAAAGAATGTGATTTACAGTTGAAAACTCCAGGTAAAATGAAGTTTAATATGTTACGTTTGAGATGCCAGTGCATGAGGAGTCAGCTGTTCTGAAATTTGCATAATATGAAATGTAGAAGAAAGAAGAAAAATGGAGGATGTAGCAGGCAATATCTTCTGTTCTTGAAATCAAAATTGTAAAAAATAATATATAATTATGCTTGATCGTGGTGTTCATTCTTTGTTACTAAGATTTGCAAAACACTAATTAGAGGTAATTGTACAACTAACTAAACAGTAAGAATTATTTGATACATTTCATGAAGGCGAGGAGGTGGATTTCCTGCTTGCGTACGTATCTGTGCAAGAGAGTAAAGCAGAGGAAATAAATCTTGTTCTTCCCTTGACTGCAATGCAGATCTGGCTCTGGGAGGGGTTTTCGTACCCGCACGGCTCGAACACATGGTCTGTGCTCAGCCAATCGTTCGCTTCACATCTGGCACTGGATTTGTGTGGCTCAGAATGGCTCTCCGACCGCTAAACAAGAAAACCTCTTGCTTTTTTTTCTCCCCTAAATTGAATTTGCACACAATCTTCAGACTGTGATTTATATCAAACATAGTTTTAACTGTTTATCTGGTATACACTGTAGCTACCCTAACAATTACTTTGCCAACACCTGTCACAGCCAGGATTTTTTAAAAACACAGCTACGTAGATGATCCTTTTCCTGACTTGCTCTCCGTGCTATGCTCTAAGCTGCTAGGATCATGCTATTTGGTGGCATACTATGTTTTAGTCTCTTTGTAAATTGTACTCCACTTTTTAGTATTACACCCCCTCGCAACTCAGGTATTTCAAAATGCATTGAGTTGATTTTTTACATGATTATTTTCTGGTCTGTTGCTGGTGAGAAACAGTTTATTCTTTTTATA